ATTCTCACACTAATCCTTCACACATTATCTCAATTTAGCCTCACGCTAATCCTTCATGCATTATCTCAATGTATTCTCACACTAATCCTTCACACATTATCCCAAAGTATCCTTACACTAATCCTTCACGCACTATCCCAACATACCATCACAACAATCCTTCATGTATTATCTCAACATATCTTCACACTAACCCTTCACTCACTATCCCAACATATCCTCACAATAATCCTTCACACATTATCCCAACATATCCTCACAATAATCCTTCACCCATTATTTCAATGTATCTTCACAATAATCTTTCTCATGTTATCTCAAAGTATATCCACAATAATCCAAACCATAGAATTTATTAGTCCCCTTTTTGAAGAAGAATGCTTTGAGGAATAAAAGGATTAAATAACCTTATTTGCTCCTTTAGTACATAATATTTAATGACCACCTAACATATGCTTGGAATTCTTTTTTACAGTGGTGGTAAACTTGTGAACCCTAGAAACCAACTCTGTACACTCAGGGAACTTTGATTCTGACAGGGACAGATGGCCAGTGAACACATATACAAAGATAGAACAAGATACTCAAGATCAGTAAGATACTTAATAATAAAGGTTGAAGTGGGGCTAAGGGGACAATATAGTTCCCAAGTGTTATCTGAGGAGGTTGCTCTTTGGGGGGATATATATATATATATACTGAGTCTGAGACATAAAATAGTGCCCTGATTCTACAGGAAGAGCTATGGTACTATCTCCCAGGCACAGGAAGAACAGGTAGGTACAAGGGGTTGTATGGGCAGGTAGGAATCGGAGCTCTTTTGAATTGTACCCTTAACCTTTAAGACTAAATAAATAGGTGTTTGATTTAGGATTCAGCTGACTGGAAACACCCTTCTCTCCAATTCTAAAGCCAAATCCCTTTCTTGTTAAGTGAAACTGTAAGACCTCTGGCTTGAAAACTTGCCGACAACTCAAAACTGAGGTGCTAGTGAAGGTGCTGAGTTGGAAAAGAATGTGACGGAGCCATTCACTCACCTTCTGTGCCTACTACAAGTACAAATGTCCACCCTCCCATGTTGATAATACCCTCCCTCCAGATGGACTTCTCAGAGAGCAGGTGGTATGTACACTGTCCAAATACTGCCTCTTTTGTTCTTGAGGTGATATTCAGTTGCTATTCATCAGATTCCAACAATAACGACATTCCATCTTCCACAATGGAGAATTGACCATGACCGAGGTTAGAGGGATGTGGTTAGTTTTCTGGGCCAAGTGGTCAAGACTCAAAAGCCCAGTTGTATAAAAGGCAGCCATTCAGGGAGCCATACAACCTTGTCAAAGCACCTGGTGAGCTGCAACGCAGTGAGCACAGATCTTGGAAGATGCAGACCCTGTTCCTGACCATCACGCTCAGCATGATTGCCACCCTGCAGGCCCAGGACCCTCTCTCCTTTGACTGGGAGAAGCCAGATGTGAGGGTAGACATGGTGGCGATGAATGCAGGGAAAAGGCCTTAACTGTTGCCCTAGGGTAACAGGGTCTTGCAGTAGGATTTTTTTTGTTTTTTTTAATCTCTCCATTCTCATTTCTCCCCAACCTTCTGGTAAACACTGATTTACTTTCTATCTTAATGTATTGACCTACTTTTGATATTTTCTGTAAGGGATCTACAATATTTGTCCTTTTGGATTTGGTTTCTTTCATTCATGTTTTCAGGGTTCATCTGTGTTTTAACGTATATCAGGATTTCATGTTGCTTTATGACCGAGTAGCATTCCATAGTTTGGATGGACTATGTTTTATTTAATCCTCATTCATTGTTAGACATTTGGGTTGTTTCCACCTTTTGGCTGTTGAGAATAGCGCTGCTGTGAATGTTGGTGTACAAATTTCTATTTGAGACACTTTTTTCAAGTCTTTTGGGTACATACCCAGGAATGAGATTGCTAGGCCACAATGCTAGCTCTGTTTTTAACATTTTGAATACAGCTACATTGTAAGAGTTGTATTAAGGTTAGATCCAGTTTTCGACTCTAGGCTTTCAACAGGAAGTGGTTGGAGGGAGCAGGAGGATTCAGCTCTTTGGCTCACAGATCTGCCCCTTCTTGGGTTGTAGGGGGCAGCATGCTTAGCTCAGCATCTTTGTTGAACTGATGCCCCTCTCCACATCATTTCAGAGTTCTCTGGAAGCTGGGCCTTATCCTAGCAGAGCACTGATATGTAGGGTACAGACTCCTTTGGCCCTGTGGCTGGGACTGTGTGCCAGATTTGTCTGACTGAGTCTGGGGTGTGCTCGGCTAGCCTTTGGAAGCTGCAGTCACAGTTGGGGTTCCAGTTGTGGCATCTAGGTCATGTATAGTTAGGGTATATGCTGGGTGGTGTGGTGGCATGAGCTTATGTCTGCCCTCCCCTGAACACCTTTTCTTGTCTCCAGATCACAGGGACCTGGTACTTGAAAGCCATAATGGGCCCGAACTTGGGAAAGAGATACAAGAAGACATCTCCTCTTATGGTGACTGCCCTGGAGGATGGCAATCTGGAGATATCATTCACATTTTTGTGAGTTTTGACCCCTGTTTCCCTCCCTAAGCAGCCTCACCATTGTTGTCATAGGCTGTTCCTCTCCCTACTGAATATTTGCATTTTTGCATATTGGTAAAATCGACAGTCACTTAACTTTAGGGGAAGGAGCACTGGGAGCACAGTGGACTATGGACTGGGCAACATCAGCAGTTTGAATTGACCAGCTGCTCTGCTGGAGGAAGAAGATCCTTTCTGCTCCTGTAAAAATTTATGCTCTCAGAAGCCCTATACAGGGTTGCTATGAGTTGGACCCGACTTGGTGGAACATCATCACCACCAACAACTTTTTTTTTTAATGTTGTAAATTATGTGATAGTTTACATGGGAGAACATTAGTTTTTTCCTCTTCTTTCTTCTTCTGGTTGAGCTCTGATCATCCAGTCATTGAAGCCAGGTCAAGTGGGTATTATCTGCAAGTGTAGGCGTTCTTGTGTATATGCCCTCTCTTCTTATCAGCTGGATGCTTCTCTCTCCACTCTAGTCCTCTGTGGCTATGCCACCACCAACTTTAGGAGAGTCTCAGGAGGCATCTAAAGCTCATGAGGGGGTGACAATGAAATTGTAGGGACACCTGGGGCAGATGAGCTGAGCACAGGCTTCGGTGTGTTGCCCTCTGTTTTCTAGAAAGAACAACCAGTGTCAGGAGAAGAGAATCCTTTTGAAGAGAACCGAGGAGCCTGGCAAATACAGTATCTGTGAGTCCTCGCCTCCTATGAAATCCCATCCACAGCCCGGAGCAGATATCCTGAACAATACCTGTGGCAGCCCTTCTGCCCTGTACAAACTCCAGGAAATACTAAACTTCCCCTGCCCAAGGTCTTCCTTCCCTAGGATGCAGTGACCTGGCATCAGATACCGGGTGTGGTAGGCTGGTGGGCAGCAGGGAATGGTTGAGGTCACCTTCCCCTTCTGGTGGTTCTAGCTGTTCACCAGAGACATGGGGTTACAGACCCTGGAGGGATGGAGCATAGTTGAGGGGTGGGCAGTGTACAGCTGCCCTGAACTGAGATAGCTGGCTGCCTTGAGCCCCCTCTCTTGTTTCCGTGAGTGGGTGGGTTGTGGGAAACAGCAAGACCCTGAACTCTGGTCAGGCTGGGGACCTGAAGGGGCTGGCCTTTTTGTACCGTTTGGGCTGCCTAAAATCTGGAACCTTCTACTGTGTTTCTTAAATGCTCCAAGTGTTTTCTCTAGGGATGAAGACATGAAACACCCATTTCCTACTTTTCTCCAGATGAGGGGAGAAAATTTACCTTCCACCTCCAGGAATTGCCAATGAAGGACCACTACATCTTTTACTGCGAAAGCAAGCACAACAACCAAACTTTGCGCTTGGCAAAGCTCTTGGGTAAGGGGCTGCTGACTCCCAGAACCCCTGTGCTCTCATCTCCCAGTTCCCACTTCCATCTGATCCCCGGGTAGGCGGTGGCCCACGTCAATCCCAAGCAGGTTCCTGGGATGTGGCCCGGTACTGACTTCTGTACACTGAGGCCCAGTGAGCAGCCTGCAGGGGAATGTGGGTTAGGGCACCGGCAGGTCTGACAGGACCTGGAAGGACAGGCTCATGAAGGGGACTCCAAACCCCACAGCAGTAAAGCGTGTTTCTGAAGTTGGGGCTGGGTCAGCGTGGGCGTAGAGATGAACTCTGCTTCTAGATCCTTCATGGAGGCGGAGGTACCCTTAGGGTGGGTTAGTTCCGATGGTGCTGTGAGTGGTGTGGTGACAGTATAACTCCTCCCTGGACGAGGTCCTCCCAGGTCAGGATCGGGATCCTGAAAGTTTGGGGGCCTCTTTGTGGTTCATGGTTTTAGCTCCATTCTCTGGACCTGCTGGGAGGATTGTAATCTGTCTACAAACCAGTCCCTCACTCCAGACTCCCTTGCGGGATGAGCAATCTCCTCAGGAGTTGTTCCCGCAATTCCCCTCCCCCAGTACTGGAAAGTGGCATCTCTGTTGGAGGTTTTGTAGAGACCCCCATATCTGGGTCTCCTCTTTGTCTCATCTTCAGGCAGGAACCTGGACGTGAATGTGGAAGCACTAGAAGAATTTAAGAAATTTACTCAGCAAAAAGGGTTCCCACAGGAGAGGCTCATCACCCCGACCCACATAGGTAAAGGGTGGTTTTGCCTGTCGTTTTCCCCAGGAAGTACTATGGATGTTCGCTCTATTAGTTCAGACCCACCACATATACATGGGGCCCGACTGCATCTGGTCATGGGCGTCTCTGACTTGGGGGCAGGGATGGGGTGGGACCCTTGCCTTGTCTAGGCATGTCTCATGCATTTTTTTTTGTCCCCACAGAGAACTGCACTCCTGAAAGCCCATAGGGTAAGTGGGTACTTTTGGACAATAGTGGGAGTAACCAGAATCTTGGGGTCCAAGGGTTCAGGAGCTGTATGCTCTGGCAGCTGTATGCTCTGGCATCCCACATACTCTGCTCCTGACAGGGGGCAACTCTGCCTTCTGTCAGCTCAGGCCCTTGGTCATTATCCTCAGAAGTTTGTCCCCAGGACAGTAATTCCCAGGCCACTCCGGATTCTTTGTTTTGCCTCATTAAACCTTAACATCTGTGACTCCTTCCTGGTACTCTGGCTCCCCTCACTGTGTGCCCACACTGTCTTCTTCAACACCAGTGCCCCTTGGTGTTGGAGCTGGGGAGGTCTCACTGGGTTTCATCCTTGTCAATCCTATTCCCACCTCCCAACTACATACTTAGAACACATCTCATATAAAAACATTCAGTGACTTGCTGGTATCCCTAACAGAATATCACAATGTAGGTGAACAGTCAGTGTTTGTCTCACACTTTTGGACGCTGTGAGTCCAAATCAGGGAACCATCATGTGGGTTTCTTCTGAACTGCTCCATGCCTCTCTCCTGGCAATCTGCTAGAAATCCCTGGCAATCCTCGGCTTGTAGATGTGCCTTAATGTGGTACCTTCCCCATGTGTGTGATTCTGTCTCTATTTTCCTCTTTTATAACACCACTCAGAGGGGATTAGTATTAGGACCCACCTAACTTTGATAGGACTTCATCATATTTTGTTGGGGGACACGATTCAGTCCATGACAACTGCCCAGTCATTGGAACGGTGGGGCCAAAACCATGCAGACCAATTCTGCCTCTAGGCTCTCATTTCCCCCCAGATTCAGCATGAGGGGATTTCTCTAAGTCTGGCATCTGTCCTGTTCCCCCTGCAACCAAAGTGGCTCTGCTGATGTCTCTCCTTTCTGTGACCCTTTCTGGTTACTGTGATTCTACACAGCAGTCCCAGATGGCACGTCCAGGGATCCCTGCCTTGCTGACTGACCCAGAACTGGACCCTGGGTCTGGACCAAGTCCAGTTCCTGCCATCAGTCTCTAGCCCTTCCCCATCAGACTCCTTTTTACTGCCCCCAATAAAAAGTGTCAGCTGTCGCTCTTGGCTCAGCCTGTGTGTGAGGGGGACATGGTGCTTGCTTCCTTGGAAATCTGCTGGGGGTGTACCAGGGAGGGAAAGACCATGGGGGTCCCGGGAAGACATTTGGCATAGTGAGGAGCCAGATCCCCAGAAGATTCTGTTGCATCCCGTAGGCCTGCAGAACCATGTAGACTTCTGGGGACCCCAGGACAAAATAGATGCCTGGAGGCCTCATCAAGGTGGCTGAGCATCAGGACTCACCTACAGAACTGTCACTTCAGTTCACATGGAGACAGAGCAAGATTTGTGCTGAGGCTGTGATGTGTGGGTTTGGGAGGCCACAAATGAGAGGCAGGAAGGAGGAAATGACGGCAGGGCTGCAGACAGGGATTGAGTTCAATCCCTGAGTGAGGATTGGAGTGAACCTATATCAAGCAGACTTTGTGGCAGGGATGGAGAGAGGATTGCCAAACACCCCCTTCACCACTGCCCACAGTAAGATGCAGAGTCAGATGTAGCACCTATGGTCTTCACTACCAGCCTTGGACTCCCCCTGGTCCCTCCAGGGATAGAGCATAGGGATAGAGCAAAGCCCACCCAATCCAACCCTGGAAGGGCCCAGTGTCATGGAAGGCAGCCTGATGGGAACACAAGAGGTCTCCATGGGATGAGTGAAGTCTCAGGAACCGCAAGTCCAAACAGCCCTGGATTTCTTAGGGGATGCTCACAGAGCAAGATCATTGGTTTTTCTTAGTGAGAGCATTTATTGTTCAACAAAAGAATTCTTCTCCAACTCATACATCTCTCTCCACCTGGACCTAGCTCTGGGGCAGATGCCAAGGTGTGGTTGTGAAGTAAAGTCCGTGGCTTTTCCTTTGCTATCATCTAGTTATAGGCAAGTCTCTGTGAGGCCGTAGGTGTGAACTCACTGGTACAAAGGGAGATGATGTGATTACAGAACATCTGTTAGATTAATATACTTGTGTCTTCTGGACCTGCTGGGCCTGATCCTTAGAGTACCATTTCCACCGGACCGTGAGTTACTACTGGACCACTTACATTATGTGAACACCCAGATTGAACTGGTTAGTTCCAGCCTCATAGATCACAATGTCCTGAGATCAGGTGCTTAATGTTTACTACTGGGATCCAGGAGCAAGGCAGATGATGCATTTTAAAAACACTGTCATTCATTCTACAACCCTGCATAAGCTCGTGGACAGTATGCCAGGGAGAAGGCAAAACTGGAGCAGAGACTCAGAGGCAGACTTGAGTTTGTCCAGAGGGGAGGTTAGATAGCAGCTAGTGTGGTTGGAAAGAGCTTAGTAGGGAAGAAGGAGGTAGACCAGATCTCAGGATCTGGTGAATGGGATGTGTTATCTAATCCTCAGAGACAGTATCACCCTGAAATTTAGTGCTTCAAGTAACACAGGTTGCTGATCTCACAGTCTCTAAGGACCAGGATTCCAAGCATGGCTTAGCTGGGTGCTTATGCCTCAAAGTGTTGGAGTTGTGCTCTCAACTGAGATTTGACTTAGAAGGATTTGCTTGCTGCTTAGTTGTTGTTAAGTGCTTTCAAATAGATTCCGACTCATAGTAACTCTGTCTAGGGTTTCTGAGGAGCGATTGGTGAGTTTGAACTGCCAACATTGTGGTTCACACTGACCTTGAGGTCCAGTGCTTTATCCTACAGTACCACACCAGGACCTGTTTATGCCCATGTTATTATAGGCAGGACTCAGTGTCTTGTGAGCTGTTGGACTGGGAAATTCAGTTCCACGTTTTCTATTGATGTAAACACTCCCTCAGTTCTTTGTCATATGGACATAGAGCAGGTCATGAGGAGGAGGGAGGGAGAGGAGAAGAGAGAGAGGGAAGAAGAGAAGAAGATAGAAAGGGAGGGAGAGAAGAAGAGAGAAAGGGAGGGAGAGAGGGACAGAGTTATAAAGACAGAGAGAAAGTGAGAGATAGATAATATATACAAAGACAGAAAGTGAGAGAGAGAACAGAAGAGAGCCACAACAACACTGACCTATCCTAGTCTTTAGAAGAGAGTCCCTCAGCACACTGCACAGTCAGTGAAGGGGATTACACAGAATGTGTAGACCAGGATGAGTGACGATTGAGAGTCCTTGTGCAGGCTACCCATCCCCTAGTGAGAGATGAGGTACTTGCTTCTAATTCAAAACATAATGGAAGTTCTTGCAGGTTTTTTTTGCCAGATGATGTCAGTATTTGATTGTTATTTAATTCCAGTCCTTTTGTGGTACACACTAAGAAACCAGATCAAGAGGGGGAGTGACTTTGCGAAAATCACATCACCAGAACCCATTGCACATACCAAACTGCTTCCTACTCTTTCTTGAAATTCTTCCTTCTCTCAGCTTGTGGGTTAGTTACATGTGACAACAGGAACCTCAAAGGGGGCCTTCGTAACAGGGGCCAAGGAGGAAATGAAGAAAGAACTGATAAGCTAGAAAGCTGTTGGGATGAGGCAGTGTGCATTTGGGAACAGGAATTGGTGTAGGCAGGGAGGAAGAGGATTTTTTTGCTCTGAGGAGATTTGAGAAGGAACAGGTGATGATGGAGATGAAGAAACTGGTGTTGCTGCAGTTTCATGACTGTCACTAATTGAGGGCTCACCCAGACTTCATTTCCATGACCCCTTGTCATCACAGAGTCTGTGGGCCTGGGTCTGATCTGGAATGGAGAGGTGGGTGGTCCTACTAATCAGGGTGAATACCTTGAACGTTTGTGACTGGGTAGGCACAGGTAGGGACCTGCATCATATCCCTACCTCAACCCCCTTGACCACATAGGATGTTGAGATCTTTGTCTCTATCCATAGGTCCCAGCTTAGTCCTATGGTTTTAGGGAAGCAACAGGATGCCTCCATACTTTTATCTGGTCTTTATCAAGCTAGCTTGATCTATGTGGGCCAGTCGCTTCTGGTCCTAGCTACAGGCATTTACTGGGTGGTGATCAGTAACTGTGATGACACTCTGTTAGTCTAGCTCCTCCCAGGTCCTCTCAGAGGTTGATGTTGTCATCCCTGTACCCAAGTCCCTCCTTCTTTGTTGCAATCTCTCCTCTTCTCTGGACAGTGAGGGAGGGAGAGAGGTCTGTAAAGTCTGGAGTTGTGTAGTGACTCAGTGAACTTGGAGTTTGTTGGAGCAGCCCCTCCCTGCAGGAGAAATTGTTTCCTCCTTAGCAAGGGCCTTTCATTTTGCCAGTGGATCAGGAGGTCAGTCAGAGAAATCTTATTCTTTTTTCAGCCAAGACTCCGTGCTTTTGGGGTTCTTGGATCTCTAGCTGTCAGCCGGGACCCCAGCACCATTACACTGCATACCTGCCCCCACCACGTGGTGAAAGATGGGCAACTGTGAGCTCCTCTAAGACTCAAGCCTACACAAGGGCTTGAAGGGGCAGCAAGGGAAGGAATTGGCCTAGGAGAAAGCCCTTGAGGCCTCCTTGACCACTGTCTCTGCAGAGATCCACACAGGAGATCCAAGAGAAGAAGGAGGATGGCACCAAGGACTCAGTCTACCCCTGGAAAGTGGTCAGGAAGACATGGGGTGAGTGAGGGAGTATGGTACCCAACAGGGTTCTAAGGTGGCCAAAGAGGATTCTGGGAACCAGATACATTTTGTAGACCCCTACAGCTCCCTCCCAGGGCTTTCCTTCTGGAGTGGTCCTCAGCCGTTTTTCAAAGGAATCATCTACCAGCCTCCCCATCTTTCCTCCTCCTCCTACTGCCCTCCCTTGGCCTGGCCAGGTGTAAAGTCACTGTTCCGATATCAGCAACATCAGAAACATTTTTAATATTGTTTTCAGTTCCTGCTAGGTCATGAGTAATTTTGCATTTTGCTACTATTTTTTTTGTGTTTCACTCCTGACCCTAGGATCCCTGACAGAAGTAAGGGGGGAGTTCTTTCCTTATATAGTCTGTGGTAGATTTGAGGAAGAGATGAACTAGTTATACCCATACCCATGGATGGACAAACTACACAAGTAAAAAACATAGAGTTGCTTAAAAAACAAAACAAAACAAAACAAAACAAAACAAAACACAAACACACAACTCTTAGTAGGACAGGACAACTTCCACAAATCAGCCTAATGCTACCAGCAGAACAGGTCTGTACCTATCCTGTGCCAGGTGGGCTTCCTGGAAGGTTGAATTGCCTCCTATAGCTTCATCCTGGGATTTTGTTCTCTTTCCTGTTGCTCAGAATAGAATAGACCAAGAGAGAACTTAGAATTATTTGTCACACAGAATGTTATAGGATAATACATTCCAAACAAGGGATTTGATCCTTATGTTTTATCATTTGGCTCCAAGGAAGACTCAGTTGGGCTTGTTTTGTTTATTTGTTTGTTTTTAAGAAAGAGAAAAAAGTAAAGCCTGCCCTTTTGTCCATGGACCTTGCCCTCCCACACTTTCTCTAGTCTCACCCGTCACCTCCCTTACGAAGCTTCTTTTACCCAGAAATGGTGGGGCTCATGCTATTATTCATAGATTGTTCTGTTTGTCATGAACCACAGCATGGTGACCCCTCAGAGTTAGTAGTGGTGTCCTGACTCAGGGCCAGAATATTCCAGAAAGGAGGCCAGTTACCACAGTGATTGAACCTTTTACTGTTAGTGGCCCTTGTTGTGTGTGATTCCTTTCTACTACCCTGTCAGTAGAGTGCAGTCCTCATATACTGACCCCCACCCAGGAAAGATGCCCAGGAGTAAGATTGCTGAGTAGAAGGCTCTGCATATTTAAGGTTAGGATTGCTAGAGCCAGACTCCTTTCCAAAATAGCCTCAGCATATATAAGTCCATGTGCATTCTGTGAAGGTGGCTGTATTCTAGAATCATGCCAGAGCCAGGCATTCTTTTTAATGTTTGCCAAACTGGTGTCAAGTGGGGCTACTGGGGGAGTTTGATGTTCTGTTGCTCGCTGTAAAGCTGAGCTATCTCAGTTGTTTCCAGGCTCTTGGATTCACTCTCCCTGAGTGGTCTGTTCAGATCCTTGTTCCTGTGGGGATTATTAAAAAAAAAACAAAAAAACTTTTTATTGTGAATTAAGTGAAAGTTTTACAGATAGGGTCATCAGCTTTACATTCAACAAATCATACACTTTGTTTCATTTCTGTGATTACAATCCCTTCCATGTAACCACAGTTATCCCGTTTCCTCCCTGTGGTCCCTATTTGCATTCCATCCACCTTCCTATTTCTTCTCAACTTTGTCCTAAGGAAAATGTTGCCCTATTGATTTTGAATGGTTGACCATTTCATGGTGAGCATACTTTGCTAGTGTTGTCCCCACCTATAACCCTATCTACTGCTTGACTGGGAATTGAGCTATGAGGGTGAGTTACTTTCTAGACCTGAAGGGTGGTTAAGGGCTATAGTCTCAGCTTCCTCCAGTCTCTTTCTGACCTGCAAATCTGGCCTTTTATTTATGTATTTTTAATTGAATAATTTTGAGTTTTGTTGCGCATTTTCTCCCACTCTATCCAGAATGCTTTGGGGGCAGTTGGTAGTGGTAGCTGGGCACCATCTAGTTCTTCTGGTCTCAGAGTCATGGAGACTGATGCTCATATGTTCAATTAGTCCATTGGACTAATTGATTCAAAGCCTCCTCAATTCTTATCATTCTTCTTCCACACATGGAGAGACCAATAGCTGCACCTTAGATGGCCATTCATGAGCTTTCAAAATCCTAGATGCTATTCACCCAAGCAGTATGTAGAACATTGTCTTTATGGACTATGTTATGCCAATTGACCATGGTGTCCCTTGAGACTGTATTCGTGAGCCCCCAGGCCTCTAATATCTAGAAAGTTTTAATAGTTTTACCTGCTGTATCATCCACCACATTCACAGCTATGTCTGCATGAAAGGTTAATTAATACTCATGTACAAATATCTTCTTTCAAACTCATATATTTGTGGCATACAGGGAATTGTTCCCCTGCACACCCCCTCAGATCTTCAGGCCTTAACCCTTAGCTAGATCTGGTGCCAGCATAGTTTGAGGTTCTCAAATTTCCCTTAATGTAAAGAAGGAAACATTTGTCTCTTTTCTGCAATCAAAGGAGATCTCATAGAGCATGTCTGCTCTCTGTAGTTTCTTTAAATAGGGAAGGAGTGAATTTCTAGACCCCTCTTCTCATGTCAGGCTTAGGGTAGCATAGTGGGAACATTATTTTGCCGTAGAATCTGAGGGTTCTGGTTTAATTCTTGAAGAAATGGTAAATTGAGAGAATCAACTGCCAGGTTTGTCAGGACTATGTATAACAAGTTATGGAAAATTTGTGCCCAGAGCTCAGGCAAGTAGAAAAGTGCTGGGGAGACAGGGAATATTCACATTTATTTTCCTCTTGCCCATGAAGAAGCTCTATGCCTGATCTCTAATTGATCATTTGTCCTTGAGTAAACCTATTTCCCTTTTTAAAAGGCCTTTGAAATTCCATCTAGGGGATCCTTCTCCTTGTTGTAGCCAGAATAAGGATACCTTTGAGGAAGCAGAGGGGTCCCAGGCCCACTCAGATATTGGGGAAGGTTCTGGTTGTGCTCATTCATTTAGCAAATACCTTGTAGATGCAATTCCTGGTGTTTTAGACACTGTTCTATGTGACTTTCAAGGAGCACTCTAGCTGCACTTCTTCCAACAGATTGGTTTGTCGTTTTGGCAGTCCATGGTACTTTAAATATTTTCCTCCTATGCATTAACTCAAATGCATCACATCTTCTACAGTCTTGCTTATTCCTTGTCCAACTTTCAAATGCATAGGAAGTTATTGAAAATACCATGGCTTGGATCAGGTGCACCTGAGTTCTCAAACTGATATCTTTTCTCTTGAACACTGTAAAGAGGTCTTGTGCACCAGATTTGCCCAATGCAATATATCATTTGGTTTCTTGACTGTTGCTTCCATGAGTGTTGATGGTTGACTCAAGCAAAATGAAGTCTTTGATGGCTTCGATCTTTTCTCCATTTATATGGATGTTATTTATTGGTCGAGTGGTGAAGATTTTTGTTGTCTTTCACAAT